CCTGTGTGATGATATCATTTGCAGCTGCTGCATATAAATCTATGCCATAGAAAACCTCCTCACTTGAGTATTCAATTCCTTAAAATAAAAGACTAGGCTGGTTAGTGTTCCTTCCTACCTCATCCTCAGAAATTCTCCAAAAAGAATTTCTTAAGTGGACAGGCATTAATAAAAGTCAATCTGCATGTATTCAATACTTTCATAACCAACCAGCACATACCTTAGCTTTTCGAAGCAAGCTTACAACACTCAGGCTTGTTGATGCTAATTCCCGACTCGGCATGCTCTGTAGCTGTGTGATAATATAAAGCTCACAGATGTGCTGGAGCCTGGACACCTGGTACATCTCTGCACAAATCAAAAGGGACATTGCTTGCAGGATGCTGCCTGGTAAAAATATCAAACGTGGGTTAGATTAGTGCACATGGACTAGCAAGGTAATTGGCATAGTTACATACCTTTGAACTGTACTGATATATCTTTTTCATTCATATAGGTCAGTGGTCATTTTTAACTAACTCTTTTTCCAGAAATAAACTTCTTGATCTCTTGAGAAAATTTCTGAGATTTGATAGTTAAAGAAAAGTTACTTTTTATATTACAATGCCCAGAATCCCCCAGATGGCATAACATTTTGAATCATAAACCAAAAAAAAAGTAAATTTTCCAAGGTCTATGTGAAACAGGCAATAGCCTAAATCTTTCCAAAGTGGCCATATAAAGAGTAAATGCATAGATATTCAAGCAAAAACATGCAAATATAAAGCAGCAGCTTGACTTTCAGGTTAACCATCCATCACAAAACATCCTTCTTGAAATGAAAAGTTTTTCTAAGGAAGCTCAATATACAGTCTATGCTAGACCAAAAGTACATGAATTTCAGCAATCCCTGTGGAATCTGTAGAACAGAAAAACAGATAGTGGCTCAGGCTCTTGAGAGTTTTCCTTTGTCTCTGTGAAACATACTGCAGATTTTTGTACACACAAAGAGGTCTTGTTGTTCACTGTTGGGAGTGAAACACCCAAGGTTCTCCTTTTTCCTATTGCTAACTGGAAAACTCAATGTGCTACATAGATCGGAGCATGGCTATAGAATACTTTATTGGCTTTTTCGTCAAAGAAAGAAGAAAACAAAACAACAATGCATATGGAGGAAATAAAAGGAGAGTCATGGAAGAAGTGGTTTCTTTCAAAGTGCAGTTTCTTTTCCGTCTTTAAGGATTTATTCATAATCTCAGGGATTACAACTTCAGTCTACAATAGTTATTAAATCGCTTGTACTTAAGTGGATTTAAAGATCAGGGCCTAAAACATGCACATTTATATTTCTTTTATATTTAGCAAGAAGCCAAAAAAATTAAAATAACATTTGGTTTGTAGGTTTGTTTTTTGCCAAATCAAAGTAGCAGCATACTATTTAGGCTTGTGCATTTCAGCTTAACCTCGATCCGTTTCTGCGGGCTGGGATCTGGCAGACCCCCATATCAGTTTTCGCATGACTTCCAAAAACAGGTGGGTAGCAGAATATCTGTTTTTGGTCTGTAGCCAAAAAAATGTGGCTAGATCCAGCCCATTGGTGGCAATGGGGAATGTACGAGGCTTCCCTTTCCATTCCTGAAAGCCTTTCCGTTTTTCCTTCAAGGGAGCCTGGGTATCAGCAACAGGGTTGAGAAAGCCCCCTTCCTGGGACCCTTTCCTTTTGTTCCCTTCAAGGGAGCCTGGGTGTTAGCAAAAGGGCTAAGAAAGCACCCTATCCGGCCCATAATGGGGAGAACTTCCCACAGGCTCCCCTTCCATATCCTTCATTAAGACGTGAATTAAAAGAATCAGAGTTAAGATAACACTCTTTCTGCAATCCTTTCCCTTCTGTCCATAGAAGAGACTGGATTTAATGCTTTGTTAAAGCTGTTTCTTTCTACTCTAGAGGAGACAGGTTGCAGGCATGCATGCTTTCTCCCTGCACACAGCTTTCTAAGGCATTTAAGGAGGCTTCCCACTTCCCTGAGAAGAAAGAGCAATCGACCTGGAGCTATCTCCCTATGCTTCCTTTAAAAAAAATCTTTTTTCTCTACTGCAGGCCCTGTTTCTGGGTTTAAGGCTTCCTTAAAGCTGTTTCAACTTTCTACTCTAGAGGAGAGGTAAATAGGTGGCAGTAGTTTTCAGAGAATGGGGATTTTCTTTGTGTTTGATGGGAATAATAATAATAATCTTTTAGAAGTATTTGAAGGAGAGGAAGGAAAGGAGAAAAGAAAGCTAAAAGAGTGACTCTCCCAAGCCCTCCAATCACCTGTCCCCGCATGTCCCCAACAAATAAAATGAATCAAGAAAATAAAAGAAAATAAAAAGATTAAATTGTGGTGCCAAATAGGGGAGGAGGAGCCGAGATTGGCTGCCATGTGGTCCCATTTCAGACAGGAATCCATGATGGCTGGCCCCTTGTCGTTACTGGCACTCAAACAAACCGAAGAAGCCAGATTGGCCAAAGAAAATGGCTAAAAATGGATCTGGGCTCAAGCCTATTATTTAGCTAACATGGCTAAGTGGTAATGGACAGAGCTATTCTCTTATCAGGCAGTGTTTCAAGACACTGGTGAAAGGTGGATGGATTAGTTTCCAACTGACCCAAAGTGTCCTAATTGAGCAATACCGATCAGTCAAAACGCATTTGTCTACACTCCAAATATCTGTTTCGGCTACTTCTATGTTTGTCATCACATTGAAGCCTGTCAATAAGGGAATGAGGTACTATAATCCTCAGTGAATGCAAAATGGGCAGTTTGTAATTATATGCCACTCCTTTTCACAAACTGGCCAGATCTGATATTCTTGTTTGTATTTCTTAACCCTGGAGGTTAATCTTCAAACAAAAAAGATCAAATCAAATCTATCACCATCTATTCCCAGCCATTCCTTCTATTGAGCTATTCCTTCACCTTCCCTGCCTCACTGATAAGCTATTTAAGTAGCACACAGTTTTAAAGGATGATTTCAGCATACTGTGAATGAACAAGGGTTTAAGAGATGATAAATTTGAAGATACAAAAACAAGTTCATATATGCTTACCTGGACAACAGGAGTCAGTATACAGATACTCTAAAAAAGACAGGAAAGTGTCTTTGGAAATCCCATAAACTGGAACCAGAAAACTATTTGATTCTATGTAGTTACCATTAAACATAGCTGCCATTACCTCACAGCGAGCCACCAGAACTGCTCTGTGAGCTGGCACTGTGGCACCTGCAAGAAAGGAGAATAGGCGACACATAGATAACAATGACCTTAGTATCAACATTTGCACACTTCAAAATACTTAAGTGAAAAACTGTGGTTTCCAAAATTCTTTTAACCCCAATTTTAAGAGAACAGGACCATCTTATTTATTTATTTATTTATTTATTTATTTATTTATTTACTATATTTGTATACCGCTCTTCTCAGCCCTCAGGGCGACTCAGAGCGGTTAACAAAGCAAATACAAAACTTAAACATGATAAAAACAGTTAGAAACAAGTTAAAAGAATAACATTATAACAACCAATAAACATAATAACATCTCATCTCATAGTTAAAATCAAGATTCAGTCTCATCATCTAAATGTTCCATATTTCTATATTAGTTACACTGCCTATTCAAATGCCTGCTCAAACAACCAGGTCTTCACTTTACAGTAACACCTCTATTTAATGGAATCTAGAGCTACAGTACCTTCAATATACCAAAGGCTATTATCTTGCTGCTATCTCAGGCACATTTACTATAGGGATTAAGTATTACTTAATTCACTTGGAATTGCCTTTTGGTAAACATATTTAGAATTGCTCTGAACACTGTCTCAAAACTGAATAAGAAAGGGTATAACACCTATAAAGAAGTTTGCAGTAAGATGTTTGTGTATAACGTGTACCAACATGAGCACGGATATTTCTCTGACAAGGCAAGATATGTCAACACTGTAAGAACCCTTTGTCTTTTTGTTGTTGTTAATTGCTGTCAAGTTGACTATGACTTATGACAAACCTACAAATAGATATCCTCCAAGCCATCCTGTTTATCAACAGCCATACTCAGATGCTCCCCACTCTTTGACTGAGTACCCAACTGTAATGAGGCCTTCCTCTTTTGCTACTGCCTACTGTCAACCAAGCATTACAATCTTTACTAGTAAGTCATATCTTCTCATGATATAGACAAAGTCAGTCTCTGTTTAGCTATCATGGCTTTTAGGAAGAATCCAGGTTTCATTTGCTGTAGGACTCATTTGTTTGTCTTTTTGGAAATGGGAAATATGAACAAACTTAACTTTAGTGTTCAAATATATATCTTTACATTTCAGGATCTTATCTTCTGATGCTTTGGCTGCAGTCACCCTCCTAGTTAATGAATGAACCAAAGTATAGAAAATCCTGAACTATTTCAATGGCTTCAGCCTCTGTTTTGAAATTATACAAGTCAATCTTATAGTCATTATAGTTATGTTCAACTATAAACCCACTCTTGCACCTTCTTCCTTGGCTTTCTTCAGTAATCATTCCAAGTCTATCCTATTTTCTGCTTGTAGAATGGTGTCATCTCTATGTCCTAAATTGTTGATGTGCCTTCCCCCAAATTTCACACCACCCTCCTCCAAGTTCCACTTTATGTATATTTTTGGAACACAAGTTAAACAGAAAGGGTCATCAGATGCAGCCTTGCATGACACCCCTTGCCAATGGAAAACTACTCCATTTTTCCATATTCTGTCCTACCGGTAGGCTCTTGTCTTGAGTACAGGTTAGGCATCAGGACAATCAAATGGTGTGGACCAGCCAGTTTTTAATGAGTGATCCATAGTTTTTCATGGCTAATTCCGTAAAGCTTTTGTTATATCCTATGAAGCATAAACTGACATTGTTCTGAAATTCTTTGGCATTCTCCATTATCTAAAACATGTTGGCAAAATAATCCCTAGTGCCTAGTGCCCATTCCTGGGGACTGGAATATATACTATTTCTAATCTGTGGGCTGTTGTTTCTGTTTCCATATTTGTTCACAGATTTTAGCTAGAACTACAGTAGTTCTGTCTCTGTAAATGAAATAGGTCTAGTGGTATGTCATCTAGTCCTGGTGATTTGTTTCTCCTGAGTGCAAATTCTACTTTATTTGTCAAAACTGGAGGGTTGTCTTTGTATGGTTCTTCTTCTAATGAATCTGTCATCCTTTCACAACTTTTATAAAGTTCTTCCATATATTGTATGTTTTTTAAATTTCTTCTTGTTGATGTAATATGATCCTCTGCTGGTTGTAAAGCATCCCCATTTTTGGTTTAAATTTCCCTTTGAGAATTTTGTTCTTCCTTTTTTGTTGTCATTTTCTGTTCCTCTGCATCGATTGCTGTAGTAGTTCTCTTTGTCCCTGCACACAAATCTGAAGCTTTTCACCAATCTGGATATGCCCTCAGTATCATGACCTAAAAACCAGGATGCCCAGCTGGAATCCCTGATATATATTATTTATTCAGTTAGAAGGGATCAGCACTATGTACATTCCCAGCAGTACTCTCGTTTACTATGCCATATGTTTGTTTGTTTGTATTTGAATCTTGGCCCTGAAATGTTCTGGTTCTTAATTCTGCGTCTCCTAACAAAAAACTGAAGTGAATTCACTAAATTAAAATTCAGTTTATATTCAATTTTGTGCCATGTTCTCAAGTTAGATATTTCCAGTTCTAAGACCAAAACCCACTGGGAATATAAAATACTAATTTATTATCATTGTGTTCTGTTTAGAACAGAAAGCTACATTCCTGTTAGTATTAATTTATTCTTCTGTGGCATTTCCTTTTGAGACAAGCAATGAGATCTATTGTTCCCTTGACTACCAACATGAAATGACTGAAGGGTAGCTCTTAAAGTTAGAGTGTGTTTTATTCTCCTTCAAAAGTCCATTTATTTTTTCTACATATTAAAGACTACTTCCAGAAAAGAATCCCCTTCTACATTTGTGCCAGATTCACAAAGATTCAGACTTAGCTTAGGGATTTTACAAGCTGAAAGCAAAATAATTAAACAACTCTTTAATCCTTTGCAAGCAAGAGTTTAAAGTTTGAAGAAATGTTTGTCCCTCCCCCATCTTGGACAGAAGATGTTAAGGGATGCAATCCTTCATATACTCTACTTAAATCCCAATGAAATCACTGAAACATTGTATGAATCAAATAATAATAGTAAAGCTTCTTTGCTAACAAAACAATCTATCAAATGAGAATTTTTAATACTATACTTGATAAATTTTCCCTCTACTTTTGTAGGGGTTGCCGGAACACAAAATTAGAAAAACTATACCTATCTCTGATGGGAGATAATGGGGTGCTATTTTTTCTGGCAGGTTATCTGCCATGGTCCCGGGGGAAGAGGAGGAGGAGTAGGCCTTGCCGACCACTTAAATTGCCATGCAGCTCTCGGTTCCTTTACTCTTCCTATGTGCTGCCAGTGTATTTCACTCAGGCCAAAGAAAAAAAGCTACTGAGGGGAACTGAAACATCCAGGATGAAAGAGGAGCCAGGATCTGCAGAGTAAGTAACATTGCAGACATGCGGGGCTGGCCCCTTCTCTCCCTGAATGCCATGAGTGTCTGCTTCATCCAAAGGAAAGGAGGTACCAGGTGAAACAGAAACATGCAATATGCCCAGATTCTGAACAGTCCCCCACTTAGCTCCAGGTGACAGGGCAGCTATATGAATGCTCACATGGCAGCCACAATTTTGAGAGGTGGGGCAGTGATGCAATAATTACAATTAATCAAAACTGTGAGAGTAAAATCCATCAATGTGGAGGGCCAACTGCATTGCATTTCCCCTTCTAACAGAATATAAACAGAATAATTAAAGGAGAAACACATTTTCTCCATTTTCTCTTAACAGATTTTCAGTTTTATATTTCAGAAAGAAACAGCGAAATTCCATGATAACTGAGTCTTTAAAAAAAGTATCACAAGGCAGTTCATCACCATTTCATATTATCATAAATAAAAAGTAAGTAAGAAAGCAAAACACAAAAGATTGATATGATACCTTGTATTTTGAACATGACATCAGCTAAAACAGTTGTATTAAAGAAAAGCCTGAGGGAGCTGTTACATAACTGTAAAGGTCTTTTTGACAAATACGATCTGCAATTCCGCGAGCTGTTAATCTGAAAAATGAAAAGAGTTATGAATGCCAATTCTTTTTATCTTTGTTACTACTTTTACAGAAAAATACATAGACAAATCACTGCCCTATCAATTTCTTTGATGCGTTCACTTCTGATCTGTAACACGTATAAGCATTTGCAACATTTATTATCTTCAGTTTCATCTCTACTACCGTAAATCATGATCATATCATGTTTCTTTCACTAAAGATCATTAGATGCATTAGATGCATTTATATGTGAATGGGGCATCTTTAAGTCAAAGCAATGAAATGAACAGGAACTGTGTCAGTGTACACTTCCAACAAAAAAACTTCTCAATAAATTGTTGGGTTAGATCTGTCTATCTTCTGCTTTTGTCCTTAATAGTATTCAAAACTCAGTGGTTGAGATATCTGCCTCCATTGCCTCATGACAGAGTTTGCTTCTGTTCCAAAATTCATAAAATAGAAAAAAGAATCTTTCACTCTGTTAATAGAATCTACTTTCACCTTGAAACCCACCTCAGACTTTTCATCTTTCTTAGATGGTGAACTCCCTTTAAACAGAGGCTGGATGGCCATTTTTCAGAAATGATTTAGTTACATATTCCTGCATGGCAGATTGTTGGACTAGATGACTCTTGCAGTCCAACTCTGTGATTCTTAATAGAGAGGCTTATTAAGGAAGAACTCAATTTACATATACGTTTTTTCTTAGTTGTTTGAGTGTTGGGCTATTACTTTGGAGACTGGAGTACACATCCTTGTTTGGCCATTAAATCCACAGGATGACCTTGGGCAAATTACACTCTCTCGGCCTCAAAGGAAAGCAATGTAAAACCTTCTCTAAACAAATCTTGCTAGGAAAAAAAATCCATCATTAGTTTGCCTTAGGGTAGGCATTCTTGGAAAAGACTTGAAGGGACACAACAACAAAACAGTACAGTACAGCACAGTACAATACTATAACCTACCTTTCCTGGGATTTTCAAAATACATTTTACTCTTTCAAGGACAAGCTCAACACTCTCAGGATCTTTCAGTTTCTTTTTTATATGTTCTTCCAATAACTCCCACTGGAAAGCACCTATGTGGATGAGATAGGTTATCTGTTTTAACACAGAATATATGTCAAATGTATGGTGGCTGTTAAGAGTCATAGAAAAGACCACTGGGGGCATCCCTGCCATCAAAGCATGCCTAACAGATGGCCTAATACTGTCACCAATATCTCTTGCACAAGTATCTTTTCTAGGGGTTTTGCTTTTCTTACAAGGAGATCATAATCAAAGCTCTGAGAAATACATCAATACCAAATCTATTGTGATTGTGACTTAATTGATAAATATGGATGTGTGAACTTACTGGCACTTATACACTTACGTTATAACCAATACCAAGCATCCCTTATCTGAAATTTTGAAATACAAGATACTCAGAAACTCAAAATTGCAACATAGGTGGCTGAGATAGTGATATCTTTGGTGGATGGTTTAGTATACAGAAACTTTGTTTCAGGTACAAAATTATTAAAGCATTGTATAATGTGAATATAAATTCCATGTATAGGGTGGGGTCTCACCTCAAAGATATCACACATATACATATATACAAATGCAGGTATTTCAAAATCCCAAGAAATCTGAAATCCAAAATGCTTCTGGTCCCAAGTACTTTGGATAAGTGAAAGCCAATCTGCATTTTTCTCACTCAAATTTATGCCACTTTGTGATCTTTAAAAATCCCGTGGAGATATGAAAGGACAAAACATTAATTTAGGAAAGAATCAGGAAAGCGTAACTCCACTCGTAGAGCGCTTCTGTTGCTTGACTTCCAAACAGCATTACTATCCCTTCCTAACTTGGTTAGAGAGGATACATTTATTTGGCCTTGCAAAGACTCACAATCCAGCCCCTTTATATTCACAACATCAAGACTTCTATGTTAAACTGTCCTAATAAAAATTAAATACAACAGATATGGTGGCATATGATATACAACTAGATACAGAGCTCAATGTACACAGAGCTCCTGGAAGCGGTGAGCTTCAGTATACCAAATGGGCAAGTAAGTAGAACTCCCCTTAGATGTACTAAGTGTTGGAGCCCTTGCAAGTGTAAGAGCACTCTGGGGCTACAGAGCAGCATAATAGGGTACAATCCACCAGGCACTGTTATTGGAATACTCCCATTGCTATTATTATTTTCATTGCAAACTAGCTTCCTGAAATTGCTTAGAGATTTGCTCTTTAGATGTTGTTGGGTTTCAGCCCTCAGTATTTTTCATTATTTGTTATGGTAGCCAAAGCTGATGGCAGTTGTCATACAAACAACATCTGGAGGGCAATAGTTTGCAGCTCCACAGCATTTAGCCTCAGTCTCTTTCACTATGCCATCCTGTGACAAAAAGGCTTAGTACACAGTTCAGGTAAAAATATTAAAAGTAAATAAACAATAACATCTCTTCTGCAGGAAGTTAGTTCTTTCCAAGTAATAGACAACAAGCAGGTGGAACCATTCTGACAAGATACCTGAATAAATGAAGTGCAGAATGTCTGACAAACAAGAACAGAAGAAAGAGTCTTTAACAATGACTCTTACTGGTGAATTGCATGATGAGCCATGATTTAAAATGGGAAACAAAGCTTCCTGGTTTGCTGTAAAAAGGGTCTGAGCAGTCCTAATGATAGAAGAATCCTGAATGTCAGCAGGGCTCTTCACATTAAAGAGTAGCATGAAGACATGGCTAATAGAGCATAAAACAATCCTGTGAGCTTCTGCTACCTCCTTCAAGTCTTCCGAGTAAAATATCACATCCACACACTGGCAGCAAAACAGCAAGTTATGTAAATCGGAATCGTAATGTGAGGCTTCACCTTTTAAAATTGGCATTTTTTCTACAAAAAAAGGGAGGGGAAAATATTAGAACAGTAATCATGAATAAACTTAATACTAGGCGCAGTAAATAACAAACATATTTTTTCCATAGCCTAAAACACATAAGAGCATGCTACTGATGTCTTAAATTCAATTGCTGCTATTGAATGAAGAAGGATTATTATCCAGATGTTTCCAAGCTACTATTTTATGCCACATTTTCACTTCCAGTTACATTTTTTCCTGGACAAGGTAAAGTGCCATCTCAGGGCCCATCCAGACAGGACCTTTATTGCAGTATCTACCACAATAGAGGAGGGGCTGTCCAGACAATGTTCTGGACAGTCCCGAATTAATTCACTACAAACCAGGAAAATCCTGGTTTGTAGTGAATTAATTAGATAGTGGTTTTATTCTGTGTCTTCTTGGAAGGCGCGGGATAAACCCACTATTTCTGGTTCTGGACTACAGAATACTGCAGTTCAGACAGTATTCCCACAGTTTACCGGGCTAAACAAGTCCACTAAACTGTGGGAATACCCACCCCCTCCCCCCAAGCCCCCAGACTCCTTAGAAAAGTCATAAAAACTTACCCGGTCTCCATTACAATCCTTGTCCAGCTCTCCTGGTGTGTAGAAATGACGCTCCAGGAGAACGGGGGGGGGGGGGAGAGAATCGCTCCCCCCCCCACTCTCCTGTCACATCATTTCTATGCGCCGGGAGAGCCAGCTGAGGCTTGTAATGGAGACTGGGTAAGTTTTTATTACTTTTCTAAGGGGTCTGGGGGCTTGGGGGAGGGGGGAGGGCCTCCAGACATTCTCTTGGGCTAGTCCCGAGAGAATATATGGACACTCACCCCAGAAAGTGTGCACTTTCTGGGGTGGGTATGGACAGGCCCCCAGAAAAATCCGTGTTTTTTAAACGTGGATTCTCCTGGGATAAAGGCCTGTCTGGATCCAGCCTCACTGGTCAGTCGACTTAAACTATTTTACTACATTCATTCACAAATAAAGCGTTACATGACTGGCTTTCTTTAATAATGTCTAAATTTAACTCAATATGCAACAGTTGTAGTTTTCCAATAATTGTTTCTGCTTATTTTTTATTGAAAACTATAATTTAAACCAGATTTTTTTGTAGGAACCAAAACCACCTGATTACAAATCTAAATGTATCACTGGTTTGGCCTTCATTGTCAAGTGTTCATAAGAATAGTCTGAAGACCATACAGAATATCCTTTTTTATTGTGTCAGAAGCGACTTGAGAAACTGCAAGTTGCTTCTGGTGTGAGAGAATTGGCTGTCTGCAGAAGCGTTGCCCAGGGGACACCCGGATGTGTTTACCATCCTGTGGGAAGCTTCTCTCATGTCTCGGCATGGGAAGCTGGAGCTGACAGACAGGTGCTCGCTCATTCGAACTTCCAACCTTCAGATCAGCAGTTCAGCCAGCACAAGGGTTTAACCCATTGTGCCACCACCCCTCCTATACTGTCATTAATATTAAATGCATTATTATCTCCTATATTGTCATTAATATTAAATGCATTATTATAAATTAAATGCATAAGCAATGTTACTATGTAATTAAATATGATTTTAGGATTTTAAATATGATTTTAAATGATCTGATTCATATTGCAAGTGGAAGAAACTAGAATCCATTATACCTGGCTGATCAAGTTGAGGTGGCTTGACTCCCGGACATTTATGGCTTTTTTTCCTTTTCTTCATTTTTTCAGATGACTTCTGATTCAAGCTTTGTATCATATAATATTCAAGCTAAAATGAAGAAAGACATGTCTTACTGAAAACAATAACCTAACATATTTACTAAACAGCTGACCCACCATTATTTTTTTGAAAAAGAAAGTTATTTCCTTGATTTGATAAAGCCAGAAAATTACAGTGGCTCCTTAGAATTTGCTAGGATTTGTTTCAAGATCCCACTTGGATATCAAAATCTGTAGATTCTTAAATCCCATTACATAAAATGGCATTGCGAAATATGTCCCTTATATAAAATGGCAAAACCAAGGTTTGCTTTTTTGGAATTTAAAAAAATCAGTTCAAGCATTGAATGATGGGATTATGGATGCGAAAATCTATGAATACATTCATTACATTTATGAGTAACTTTTGTCCTGTCACAGAACAAAAGCAGCTTTAAATAATGATAAAACAGAATACAATAATAAAAAAAAAGGGGGGGGGGAGAAAACAACTCAATCTGGTATGATACAAGTGTTAAAAAGAATTTTTACATAACTCTTTCTTTCAGGGCCCTTTCATACAGCCCTATATCCCAGAATATCAAGGCAGAAAATCCCACAATATTTGTCTGAACTGGATTATCCACTCCACACTGCCATATATCCCAGTTCAAATCAAATAATGTGAGATTTTATTCAGCTATGTGGAAGGAGCCTCTCTTACAGAGACCGAATAGCAACCATCATAAAAATAATTAGGAAGAAAGGCAAATCATTTTATAATCAGGGAGTTCACTATTAAAATCATAGTTTAAAGAAAGAAGTTTTTCTGGCCCATCATTGATGAGGAGCATTCACTCATGAGGACTAAGCTTTCTAATTATATAAATAAGATCTGGCAATGAAAACTGCAATCCTATTTACCATATACAGACTGCTGAAACCCCACAGAAACCTACTGTTAGTAACTAACCTAAGAGTACAGTACTACAGATGGCAATATCTATGGATTTTGCATAGATTCAACCATCCATGGCTTGTTTTTTTTAATCCAGAAAGCAAACACTGATTTTGCTGTTTGGTATAAGGGACATCATTTTACTATGCCATAGCATATATTGGGAATTGAACCAAAATCCATGGATGCTACAGTGTATTTTCACTTGTTGAATGTGGTTTCAGCTCTATGCAAAGAGCTCTGAATACCATAGTATTGTGTTTGAAGACCTAGCAAAGCCTGGGAAAGTGTTTTCTCTACACCTTCAGCACAATCATATGAAAGATTCACCAAAAGTTGACCTCAGATCACACTGGAGGCCCAGAAATAACACTTCTCTAAGCATCATTAGATCACCCATTTGATTTTATGGTTTGGTAAGAAGCCCAAGGTATTTCAGGTAAGGAAAATAGAGTTAAACAGAGAGTTCTGGAACAAGGCTTTTCTACAGTAGACTCAGCAAAAGTGCCAGTTACAACATTTATTATCCTTTACACGCTTTGTCCTCATAGCAACTCTGTGGAAGAACTAAAATTGAAATAATATAATTGGAACAAAATTGCCCCAATGAGTAGGTGCCTAACTCTGGGTCACCCTTGTCCATAACAGCTGACTGAATCAAAATCTGCATTAGAGAGTTTTTAGTCTTAACATTTAATAATTCTGAGGTCGATGTTTATACTTACCACTCCTCCAAAATATTTCCCTATATAAAAATCATTGAGACTGTGCAGTTCCAGATAAGTTGCTCCTAGTTCTTTAGCAAGCTGGATCCCTTCAGAAGCCGTAACACAACTCCCTCTGTCTGAGATACACAAAGGACAAGTGCAGGGAACTTCTGAGAAGACAAATTATTCATACAAATTACTTTTAATTACATTGGCTCATCAATGGCTTCTAAGTCCTAGCAAATATTTAATCATGAATTAAACAAGAGAAGATTTCAAAACATTCGCAGTGCAGTTATTTACATATCTACTTGGAAGAAAGCTCCAACTTTGAATGGTGCATCCTCTCAACTAAGTGTGTTTAGGATTAGAACAGTTGTTCTGTTGCAGAGCCACGGTTAAGAAGTATACCACTATTCTAATTTGATATGAAAGATTATAAATATTTTTCTTTAATGTCACCAATTTTAGAATCCAATCAGTTATTTAGGGTTCATGTAATGATGAACAATTGAAGTTGCATTAAAGTTTCCTGTTGGCATAAAATATGGACAACAAAATGACCATGATGGCGCTACAGAAAAAAAATCTTAATGGTAGAAAATAATGTCACTCATTTCTCATTTGATTCTCCATAGTATAAGTAATTTTTCATTGCTCAGTGATAGTTTTCTTTTTAAAAAGAATAGAAAATGGTAAGATAATTTAGCAATAAACAATGAACACAGGTTTTTCTTCAAACTGTATAAATAAACAATTACAGAGTAGCTATACTTAGGCTTATTTTAATAATGTATCCTGAGTAACATAAGACAACTGAGAAGCACAGCCTCCCTCCCATAGTGCCTTTGGGCTACCTTGTCACCTCCAGAGGGTTGACATGTATTCTGCAATGGCAGGGCAGAGGATGAAGCAATCTAACAGGGCTGCCTTGTGCAAGTGGAAATGCTTTTCTGACTGTGCAAGAAACCTTTGAATCCAAGTTTAAGTTAGAAAGGTATCACTATAATATCTACAAGTACCAACATGTTTAAAATATTTCCTCCTAGATTACTCAGATTCTGTTTCTATCTAGATACAGTTATGGTAGTTTAGTTCTTAGAAAATATATATAAATCTTTTCATTCTTCAGTTTGTTAAAACTGTTAAATTAAGACATTGATGCTTCAGTTTACTTGAAATATTGGATTTTAACTGCAAAAGTAATGCTTGTAGTTTACATCATTTTATAATATTTGCTCTACCTTTTGATCAGCATAACATTGTACAACATTCATCATTTCTTGTCAATAGGGCCCTACTGATATGTAAACAAAGCCCTGCAGACAGTAATATATAGGGCTAGTATCACAGCTACAACCTACCCCTGCAGAGGTGGAGGACCTATTAAAATTGTCCACCCTCAAAGGCTAATGGATCCTCTGAGATTCCAGAAAGTCTTGGAGGGTACTACAGTTGGCATCATCAATGATCCTGTTGAACTCCTGGTCAATAAATGGAATCAGAATCTAACAAGGGCTATTGACATGATCACTTCCAAACGTCTTATCCAACCCGTTACAAAACAGGCTCCTTGGTATACAGAGACCCTCAGGGAAATGAAACGGGAAGGATGATGACTAGAGCACAGATGGTGGAAAACTTGACTCCTATGTGACAAGATGCGGTATAGAGGCACCTCTGCTCCTATAAGGTGGCAATATGCACAGCGAAAAAAGCTTTCTTCTCTGTATGCATTGCGTCTGCAAATTCATGTCCAGCTGAGCTGTTCACAGTGGTGAGAGGTGTAACCAGGTACCCTTCCCTCCGAACCCTTTGCTCACTGTGATGCTTTTAACAACCATTTTGCAGATAAAATCTCTCACATAACAGCTGACTTAGATGCTATCATTGGAGCAGAAGCCAACAATGAAGCAAGTGTCTGGCAACTCTGTGAGTGGGATTACGCTGGATCATTTTCAATTGGTGATTACTGTTGATGTGGACAAGCTACTAGTAGATGATCTCCATCTTAACATTGACATGGGTTATGGGTCTCTGTTGGTGCTTCTAGACCTCTCAGAGGTGTTTGATACTATCGGCCATGGTATCCTTCTGGAACACGGGAAGGGGGATTGGAGGCATTGCGCTGCAAAGATTCCAGTCATATTTCTCTGGAAGGTTCCAGATGGTGGCACCTGGGAATACCTGCTCCTCAAGAAAAGGAGTTGTTATCTGACATCCCACAAGGTGCCACTATATCCCCAATTCTTTTTAATATTTACATGAAACCGCTGGGCGAGATCATCCGGAGGCATGGGGTGGGTTGTTATCAGTATGCCGATGACACCCAATAATATTGGAGTTATGTCAACCAATTCTGGATGGGGTTACACTCTCCCTGAAAGACGGTGTTTGCAGGTTGGGAATGCTCCTGGATCCATCACTCCAAATGTCAGCCCAGGAAAATACAGTGGTCAGGATTGCTTATTATGAGCTTTGGCTAATACGCTTGCTGCGCACCTTCCTAGATTTGGTAGACCTAAAGATGGTAACCTCAAGGTTGGATTTCTGCAAAGTGTTTACATTGAGCTACCTTTGTACCAAGTTTGGAAACTCCTGTTGATTCAAAATACAGCAGCCAGATTGGTTATAGGTACATCCAGGAGTGAACATATTGCATCTAAAGTCTCTCCACTGGCTGCCAAATAGTTCCTGGGCAAAACATAAAGTTTCAGTTTTGACCTTTAAAGCCCTCCATGGTTTGGGTGCAGTTTACTTACAGGAATGCCTTCTCCCATACAATACAATCCAAATACTGAGGTCCCCTGGGGGGCGGTTACTCTAGCCTGCCAGAACCCGACTGACAACAGTCACTCAGAGGACCTTTTCATCAGATGCCCCAAGACTATGAAATTACCTGCTGGAAGAGCTCCGACAGCTAAATGAACTGTCAGAATTTAAAAACCATCTAAATACCTATCGAATCTGGCAGGCCTATCCAGCTGGTTTTTATAATGAATTTTAAACTTGCACCTTATTTTTAATCTTTGTATTTTGTAGAAATATGTTTTAATATGTTTATTTGTAAAATGTTTTTAGATGATTGTGTGTTTTTCGCAATGTTGTTACCTGCCTCAAGCCACAAGAAGAGACAGATAATAATAATAATAATAATAATAATAATAATGTTTTCATCATTTATTGTTCAAATGGTGTTCATACAGAAAGCAAAGCTGTAGAATATTATTAAAAACATTTAAGTACATAAATTGTAATGGACTAAATCCAATTGTTAGATGCCTACTATCTCAATGACAATATGGTATGTCTATACAGTATGGCCCCATATCCACGGTGGATATGTTCCAGAACTTCATGTTGATATGCAAAACTACTGATAAAAGAAAATCCTACTGAAATCACACAAAGAACATAATTCCACAGAATTGTGCTGGAGAAATTAGACAATGCCTAGAGATGACATATTTTGTTGGACAGGGAAAAATAATAACACAGATACAAGTCCTGTCAATTTGGGGGTCATATTGGACTTATGCAAGCTCTGTTTATTTAACTGGTACACTCTAGTTGGGACTAAAGCTGTATCCAGGCTTGTTATCATTATTATTGTGCAATTAGTTGATAATCCACAGACCTTGAAAAGTAAAGCTGCTCCTCCTTTCCCACTGACTTCAATCTAAGTTGAATCTTAGAAAATATCTAACTGCATATAAGCACATGATAATTTTTAAACCAAAAAGACCTTGGTATAGTTACACTGAGTATTTATATTCAAACTAGCATATATACCCAGTGTTGCCAGGTGTCAGAGGGGCTGTTGCCCTCCTGCTTTCATTCCTACTTTTTATTTATTTATTTCCTTCTCTCCATTCATACCCTTCCCCTTTTCTTTCTCATACCTTTCCTTTTGTCTCCTTCCCCCCTTCCCCTCATATATGTCACCTTTTCTCCCAGTGACACCACAGAGAACAACAGCCAATCCAACACACAGCCAATTCAGTAACATCACAACCTTTGTGGTACAGACAGACACACACAAATCCAGTTCTTTGACTTTTCCATAGATAGATAGATAGATAGATAGATAGACTAATAGATGGATTATCAATAGTTCAAAATAACATTTCCTTGCAGATTACCTACAAATGAATGACAAACAATGGTCTCTATCTGTCTATGTCACTGAGCCCCCATTCATAAAGCACTAAGATCATTATCTGTGGGTAATTTACACGAACTACATTATCTATGGATAATTTTTAAGGTCTGCTATAAATATGCAGCATGACAACTTTACACTGTCCATGTTAGAGTCCCCCAAACTATGCAGGTAAAGGAATTCCAATATTTTTTATAACATTGGACCATTCCATGACCCACTGCTTCAGTAGTTCTCTATCTTTGATCCTCCAAATGTTTTGAACTTCAATACTAAGAAGTCTCAAACTGAATGGTCATTGGTCAAGAATTCTGGGAGTTGAAGTTCCAGCTGGGGGACCAATGTTAGACAACCATTATTTCCTAAGGCCTGCAGGACTCCTGTCAGTAGATTGGAAGACAAAGCATGATTGTCATTCCTTTCCTTCTGGTTTTGCTTTTACAAAAATCTGTTACACTACTGGCAGCAAAGGGAAATATTTAGGCTTTTCTGACACACACACACAACCCTCCGGTTAGGGAGCTTGTTTCAGGGCTTGGTAAATTTTGAAAACTTCAACTGTAGGGCTTCTCTCTCTATCCACACTATGATCTCATCTGATATTACAAAGGGAATAGCTACAGATCTGAGACAGGCTCCTTCTCTCTATACAAATTCCAAATTGGACTAAGTCAGAATAATTACAACCCATAAAATAGATATGATTAATTTCATAGTTCATTTATATTATCATAATCTTCCAATGGTTCAAACTAGAGCATGATAAAAACTGACAAAATGCATTTTAAAAGTGGACTAGATAACCTGGTAATGACAGAATCATATAAAGCACTGAAAAACTTAAAAGAGACCAGTGTTTATTCTTAAATAAAGCATGGATCTAGCATTTCCTTCCTCAACCATTCCATTCAGCTGCATCAGAACACCCAAGAACAGAGTGAATATGAAAGAATTTTCATTTGTTTCCAATGTGAAAATGATCTGTAAAGTATAAAGTCCCATAAGAATACATGTGTCAAGAGACTGCATTACAGCAGCTGTGTTATATAACATTTAATGTAGCTGCAGTGTACACAACACCCGAATAAAACAATGCATGGTAATACAAGGTACCCCAAAAGTCATCCTAGATAGGGATACTGGAAAATTGTAGATAAATCTACCTTTATTTACATTTGGTCTGTGTGTGGCAACTTTTGGAACTCCCTGTAGAATAAAGGCTACAGAACAAAGGAACTTTGGGGCAAACACTTCTGACTGAGAAAACATAGATTACACAATTATTGTTACTTTTCAGTATATGTATTAGCTTACATCACACAAACAGAGTGGGGGGGATAGAAAATTGTTGAAAAGGGTAATTTAACATCCCAAAGTATATCAGATTTCACAAAAAATTGACTGGATTCATTAAGAATGAATCATTAATAAGAACAATACAAAGCTCATATATTCCAAAACAACATGCTAGGAACTAGGACACTTGTACGCCAATAGAAAACTGAACCTGAAAAATTCAGTCTGAATTTACAAGTCTCTATCCATTAAAAATCCATTTGGAAAAGTCACTTGTTGGGCCTCTGTAAAACTCAGCAATTTAACTTTGCTCCTTGCATTAAGGTTTCACTATCAGTGGGGTAATTATTCTATGTCTGACTAGACTAGATAATTCAACTGCTGCCAATGCAGAGACGCAATACCATTATCTCTTCTAAAAGAAAGCATTACTAGGACTGTGACTTGCACAATAACATAAGGTGCAAGCTCCTTGGAGCATACATTATTCTTAAGACGTACTGATATTCTAAAAGTAAACCTTTCAAGACTAAACATGAAGTGTTTCTATTATACATCTGAAAAACAATGGCACAGTTGTTAGTTAATACATCTTGCTTTTGCTTGTTGTACACATTAGGAGAGTGACATTGACAAGATCTTTATACACATTAGAGGGGTTTAGAAATCAAATGTGACTAACCATTTTTTATCATCTGAGGGCAAATTGAAACAAATATGTAGGGGAATCACAGGTGTTCCTTCATGACTCAGAGCAGCATTTTCACCTAACAACAAATCTGTAGACCACAAACAGTGATTTGTCTGAGGTTATCTAATGAGGTTCACAACTAAAAGGGGATAAACGTGGATCCCTATATCCAAGCCTATCACACTAACCATTGATTTATCAGTAAGACAAGGGCTCTTTAAACTCTCTTTATATGAATATATGGATAACATACTCTCTTAGTAACTCGTTTCTTCAGTAGACTTTATCCATAGGCTCCGACAGAAATCAGCTCTTGAAACTAGTTATTGAAAGACTGCTCCAACTGTTCAGTATCCACTTAGGAAAAAACCCAGCTCTTACACAGCTAGAGCAATGTTTGATGGGCAATTCAGTCTACGATATCAAACAAGTTGCACATTTTGGTAAGGACTAAAGTACATAAGCATTGGGAATACAGTGTGCATGGCTGTAAATGGGGGTGGAGGGGCTCTGGGTCCATCTACATAGGCTATATATGTGGGAATAATCCAGACTGGCCCCAGGGAGCAGCTACACCACCTATCTTCATCCCAATGTGGCAGAAGAATAGACTCCTTAATACTGAGTTGGGCTGAATTCTGCCTTTCTGGATGGCCACCCTTACCTTTGTCATAATTTATTAAACCCTATGGCACAACAGCAATGACAACAAACAAGTGCCACCCCCTTCCCTGCACATAACAGTGCACAGGAAAACTCAAATAGTGGTACTGGCCCATGTCAACAGTTGAGCTGGTTCAAGTGTTGGCCTGTTCCAAAGTTTCAGGGTAGTTCCAGAGTTTTCCCTGATTTTCCCTCATGCGGGGTATTCCAGGTTAACCAGTTTTATGCACCATGGTGGGCTGGAAGCCCCTGAACATTATTTGGATGCCAAGGGGGAACTTTTGGCTTCCTTTGGGAATTGTGGTTGGTGTAAATGGGCCCTCTGTGTGTTCTTGAAATCATATTAAAATAAGTAACCATGTTCTAAGAGAGTTAAATGATGACATTTAATCCATTTTACACAGAAGGTTTAGGGTGTCTTGTGCTTTCACTTATGGTAAACCTATTCTAGCAGTTTATTGGCTATGTTTATTCAGCACAGATTAGCCGATGCCTTCCCCTTAGGCTGAGAGTGTGACTTACCCAAGATCACCCAGTGGATTTCCATGGCAGAGTGGGGGAGCAAACCCTGGTCTCCCAGAGTCCTACTCCAACACTCAAACTACAACAGCACACTGATGCCAACAGACAAACAAAGCCACATAGCAAATTATGTTAGCACGTTTAACATTTTTTCATGTCATGTGCAAATTATGGTCTTGAATCAGTTTAGTCTTGGCTGGTGTTTGAAAATATATCATACAAAATATTATTTTATTGCACTGTGATTATTTTCTTAGCAGATGTTTTTCTCTGTTGTTCAAATTTATATGGGCTGATATTACTATTACTCAGCACTATCACACATAACTGAATTCCTCTAACTGTACTTGCAGAATCCAGGCATAACTATAGTTACCCTTACAGAGTACCCTCCTTCATACGTTCATACTTGGAATTGTGTTTGTTGTGGTAAGAAATACATCTTTGTTTCATGCATCTGCCTCCATACAAATTTTGCTGACAAGTAATATTAATAGCACTTTAAGATTTCAAGTCTAAACACATTTATCAGAAAATCAGTATCACTGAACACAGTAGTACATCCATATAAATATCAATAGGGTTGCACACTAAAAATCAATACCTATTACCAGTGCAAGAATACAAGCCATCATGATGTGGAAGTGCAAACAGGTATTTTTGCTCTAAATGGAGCTACCCAACAGTACAAATGTTTTCTCACTCAACATTAAATGACACATTGTAAAAACTAGCTCTATAGATATGTCACTGTTATCATGATTGGAGTAACAGTATCATTCTTTTTCATCGTGATTTCCCAACACGTAGCCTTATACCAAAATTTTAGCTGTTTATAACATGATTTCAAGCACATACCGTTTTGTCTCGCACCAACAGCAGAAATTATGACTGGAACTGAACAGTGGTTTAGAGCTTTTTTAATCAGTGGCGCATAAATCTCCTTTACTTCTTGGAATGAAGACTTGTCATTTACAGAGTATTTAATCACAATGATATCTGCTTCTCCAATAAGGTTCCGAGATGTGTACCAGTCACTTTCAAAAATATCCTACACAAAACAAAAAGATGGAGCTAAATTCCATTTTCAGTGGATAAGAGCAAACTGAAGAAATAATCCCTCAAATAGAGACAGAAGTATAAGGCGAGTTCTCTTTTATAGTGAACTGAAAGATCATTCAAACAAAAACCAAAAAGATTGCACTCACAATATCAATCTTTTTTTTTGTTAAATAAGCATCAAACAATATAAACACCCTGAATTGTTAGTACAGTAGAGTCTCGCTTATCCGACATAAACGGACCAGCAGAAAGTAAGAGAAAAAAGAAAATGTTGGATAATATGGAATCGCCTACTTTTACCTGTCCGACACGGCATTAGACACCTACAATACTAACAACAGGGACTGAAAGGGCTAAGGCAAGGCAACACCTCGGTGCTAGAGCGGCCCAGCAGGAAGTGTCCAGATGCAGAAGAGGAGTGTGGAAATCACGGAGGGAAGAAGGAGGGACGCTTCCACTTCCAGTCCTGCCTCTTTTCCCCCTTTTCCCCCTCCTCCTCCTCCTCGTCTTGCCTTTTTCACTTATAGGGAATGGAGAAAGAATTGGGGAGGAATTGAAGAGGAAATGCTGGAGGAAAAGGATAACATCAGATGAGACTTGAGGGGCCTCACCCCCCCCCCCCCCCCGAAATTCTCATGGTGGTTCGCGAAAAGGCCTTACTGGTGCATTATTTAAACTGTTATGTTTATTCATATCATGATCTGATCACCATACTCAATATATCCCATATGCATGGGTATTGGAAATCCTGGCTATGGGCCTGATGAGACTCTACTGTATGTAAAATACCTTTTAAACTTCACCTTCAGCTACTTTGTCACCTATGTTTACAGATGTTTACAGATGGGGGGACATAAATACATTGACACAGTAACTAAATGAAGCATAGTTGGGAAGTTAACAAGCAAATATAACTTTGAATCCAACTTTCTCAATTCTGGGACCAACATTCAATTTATGGGAGTTCTGAATACTTTTGAGAGCTGCAATTATTGAGAAATTATGTATAAGAAAATATATGTAGCAAAATCGCTTTTCATTTGAGCTTAGTGAGAGCAAGAGCAGTAACTTGGCAGGCATGGTGCTAAAATAAATTCAAAAGCTAAGCACTTTACTTTTTAAAAATTCTCCTTTTTCTACAGTGTAATGGAAATGTGTGATTGAATGTAATTTGCACTAACTTCTTCTCTTAAGCATAACTTCTCCTGGTGCTAATAGCAATCATTATTTTTAAAAGCTCTTCTTTGATCAAGATCAGTAAACACTTGCAATCAAAACTGGGGGGAAACTGTTGGAATCCTGATATATGAAACATGTTATTGAAATATATTATGTCTCAACTTTCATTTAGAATTTGATGAACAAACTGCTAACCATAATATTCTAGAAAAGCACTTGATGTCTTTGTCTCTCTGAAACAACAGATGACTATTCTAGCTCACCCCTGCCTACACTTTTCTATCATAGTAGAATGCACTTTCCAGAATTGTCTTTGCTAGCACCATGTTATTTTTAAAGTTTGTATTACTACGCTTGAGGAATGACAATCATTTCTCTATTCTTAATAAGCAGAGGCAACCTGCAATTTTACAACAGCTTTTGTGGGTTTGCTTTCCCAGTGGCATTCTGGAAATATCACTGCTAGAGGATGAAAGCTCAGTCCAGCATCCTTGCATTACATAACATACAGTTATTATCAGCTGATGAAAGGCTTTCATAGTCTATTATGAATTGACTGCTCTTCTCGTTTTTCAGTTTGTGAAATACCAATCCAAGGGACTGCTGAAACAGCAGAATTTGAAATCAGATCCTAGAATCCTAAGCATTGTTGGACAAAAATTAGAATAAGATCACTTTGGGGTTTTCAGAAATAAGGGAAATAATATCGAATGGGATGAAAGAGAAAAGTGAGTTCAAGAGACCACATGAAGAAAGTATATGAACTGAAGAATCAGGAGCCAGGACAGAGATGAGCCAAACATTTTTAAAAAAATATTTGGTAAAGATTTTAATCCACAGGCAGATATCTGTACATTATTTGCATCTCAATTCTTAATAACAGTCAGTGGCTCATTTGGAAGACATAAATGATGAAGACAGGTGCTTCCAGACATTATTTCATCTACCCCAGACATTCACACACGAGGGCATGTTCTTATATAGCCAAAACAGCATCATCCACATACAAGAGAGAAAGAACTAGAGTCTGCAGTATGAAAATATCTCACTCAGAAGTAATCCAAGGAGGGTTGGGCATGCTGAGTAGCCATGAAATGCTAACTGGTAGGAGCAGAAAATAAGGTGCATTGAAGAACAGAACACCCATCAAGTGAACAGAGGTGAAGGAGTAGAGAGCTGAACTGGAATGTTTTTCACACTTTTTGCCTTTACTTCTGATGATAGTATTAGATTAAGGGCCCTTCCACACTGCTCTATATCCCAGAATATCAAGGTAGAAAATCCCACAATATCTGCTTTGAACTGGATTATCTGAGTCCACACTCAGATAATGTGGGATTTTCTGCCTTGATATCCTGGGATAAAGGGATGTGTAGAAGGGCCCTCAGAAACAAACCTGGCAATGCCTTTTAAAAGAAGTTCTTCTCACCCTGAGTACTTGGAGTGATTGATCCTGATCTTGTACAACAACAAATATCCCACTTCCTCTGCACATACTTTTGTTCCACCTGTACTGATATTTTAAAAACTGCTCATTTTTACAGTCACTACTGACAATGACTTAGGACCCTTCCACACAGCCATATAACCCAGAATATCAAGGTTGATAACCCACAATATCTGCTTTAAACTGGGTCATCTGAGTCCACATTGCCATATAATCCAGTTCATTCTGGATTTTATACAGCTGTGTGGAAGGAGGCTGAATTAAAAGTTTCTGGAGCCCATAAATAACATACTGCAAAAGCACCATAACTCCAAAGAAAACTGACTATCTAGAACCACTTTTCGCCAAATTAGTTGACTATCTCAAATCTAGTGAAGAATATCAAGTTTCTAACACAAAACAAAAAGCAGGAGTTCATTGTCTTGACAACTGATTGAATCCAGCCAGAAAATTCAGGGTCAATTGGATCAACAATACTGACCAACTATGATCTCTGGAGGCCCTGGTCGCTCAGTGAGTTAAAGCACTGAGTTGCTGAACTTGCTCCTGCTGTTAGCCCCAGCTTCTGCCAACCAGCAGTTCTAAAACATGCAATGTGAGTAGATCAATAGGTACCACTCCAACAGGAAGGTAACGACACTCCATACCATCATGCCAGCCACATGACCTTGGAGGTGTCTACGGACAACGCTGGCTCTTCAGCTTAGAAATGGAGATGAGCACCAACCTCCAGAGTTGGACACGACTGGACTTAATGTCAGGGAAAGCTTTTACCTATGATCTCTGTCTATTTCCAGACAGACATTTGCTTAGTTAGCCACCATCCACCTTAGGATATGCGTTTATGATTCCTCAGCACAAACTGACATCCTTTAATGCATTTCAACCACCTGTCTGCACACTTGATCCAAAAAAATTACAAAAGAATAAACCAGTGTCCTGGTTTTGTTTTTGTTTTTTAAGTCTTCATACATTTCCATGCATGGCACTGGCAATTCAATCAATTCCACATTCACAACTGTGGGTACAAATTTGGGAAATGATTTCATGTACATATTTACTCACAAAGAATAAATCTGAAAAACAGATCTAGAGCATTCATCCTCAGACAATTCTATAATGAAATCTATGAGTTCTTCACAATCACCCAGATGATATGATGCACAGAACAAAACTTGGTTCAAGGCAAAGTCGCTTTTGTGCATGGCAGGCACATGCTGGGAATCAAAGTGACTTTTCCCATCTTGTGCACCAGTTCCCAGACAATTGCATTTTCTGAATTAAGATTTCAACATTGAATTACAAGGAAAATATAATTTTGCCTCTCACAACCAGTGTAATTGTAGTAATGTCACAGTAGAATGTCATACGGTAAATAAAGAACATTCTGAAAACAGGGGAATTCCAGACAGGAAACAATCAGGGCCAGCTAACACCTCCCAACAAAGGATTCCCTCAGACAGGAAGCAGCCAAGCTTTAAAGCTGCAAGACTATTCAATGCTGATCAAGGTGGCCAATTGCAACATTCACACCTATCTCAAACAGACAAAAGTACTTTCTCCCACCCTGGACATTCCACAGATATATAAACATCACTTGCTTAGTTTCCAACAGACCTCATAACCTCTTTGGCATCGTGCAAATGTCAATAATATTCCAAGATGAGTTTAACATATCTTTTAACATTGTTAAACTAGCTATACTTTCAGTTTTAGCGGAAACAAAATGATAAGTCAATCGTCTACATGTTCTTATAATCTAGGAAATATTTTTATATAACAGTGCCTGAAATCATGCATCTTATTGTACTGCAATATCATCACCACTGAATTTGCTGGCTAGGATTGCTGGTAGATGCAATCAAATAACATCTGGAGGATCACATGATTCCCACCCTGGCATGAAGAAACAACAGATGATGGCTGGTTTCTCTTGAATATTCCACAGTATTCTAATAAATTGCTTATTTACTTGATTGAGCAAGTGTACAAAACATATAATAGCAATTTCTACTCTTCTGCCAGGTCAGTATTGCAACAAGCTTCCCATGTTGATTTGATTAAGGCTACAATCCTAAACACTCGTACTTACAAAGCAGTAAGTCCCATGAGACTTACTACTGAGTAATATGTTTACAATTGGTCTCTTAGCTTTCTACTACAGTTTCTTACCCAAAGAGGACAGTCATGTACCACCAATCTGACATTTCCAAACACACAGGCTTGATATTCAGTGAATGCAGGATTTCTAACGTAGTTAGCAGAGTTTAGCAACAAACTGCTGTCGGTCTCTGAAACCAGAGCACTCCTCCCAAGATAGGTCCAGATCAGACTTCTCTGCTGATCATCCTCAGGAAAGCCACCTCTTTCATTTCCAAAGGCTACAATGCGAACAGACCTATAAATAAACAATTAAAATAAATAAATCCTCTGGAATCAAACATGTATTATGACAATATTAGTAAAAGATGGGAAGAAGCAGAACAAATTATCATTTCAAGCCATAATAAAACTATTGTCTTCAAAACAGACTTCCCCCCAGATCTGAAATCCTTGAAGAGTAAATAATGGCCCACATACATGGTCTTAAATCCCAAAGCAGGAGAGGAAGGTGGCTAGGGATCCTGCAAAAGCTGCTTGCATTATAAATCCAAAGCCTCTTGGGTTTATTCTTCCTCCATTTCCTGAAGCTGATTCATTTGTCCACTTGGAGACACAGTGGCTTGGGAGGGTGGCCTTTCCGTCAATGCCCAGTCCAGCAATCCTGTTCTCTGCAAGTCAAAACAAGGCTCAGTTCTGTGACAACAGCCTGCTGCTGCTGCTACTGCTGCTGAAGGTGAAATCAGCACATCCACTCAGCAGCTAGCTCCTGGCTTCGAGCTCAGCCATTGCCTCGTGACGTCAGTAAACCCTACCAACAAAGGGTATTAACACCCGCAAAGGGAAGAGAGACTCGGCATTTCTGCAGAGCCAACACAATACGGTCAGATCAGCAGAGAGAAAAACAAAATGTGGCTCTGGGAATAGCAGCATCCCACGAACTGAAGGAGCCTACGTGGTACACTGCTGCTAGTGTGGAAAAGATACAAAAATACATGAGCTCACTGCCAGCCAATCCACTTCCAGTCATTCCCAGAGGAAGGGAGCCAAGCAGTCCTAACTGGCAGGGCAAAGATGTCAACATTGTAGAAAGAAGTGTCCCCAATCTGAAAAATTGCCTTTCAGGCCTTGATTTGCACAATAAATCTGCTGCTTTCCAAAGAGCTTGTAAAAATACTTTGGAGCCCACATCCGGCTCTTTTATTATTAACAGGAAGATTTAGACAACTCATACATTTGGCTGTAAATTAAAATAAAGCACTTTTTTTTAAAAAAAGTTAAATGTTCGATATAGTAAAAACATTTATTCAGTTAGAATTTTTTCACTTAAAATATAGAAAAGAGAAAAAATAATCATTTCTGCTTCTATGGTCACAAATATGAATCAAAAGGAACAAATTCCTGCAAAAAAAAATGAAAATATTTATAGATGATGTATGCTATAAAAACTGATAAATACGGAGACACGACATAGAAAGAAAATGCCAGCCTACATTTTAAAAAATTCTTAAAATTGCATGTACAATGTAAAATTGTTTTAGATTGTGTATGAAGTACTGTAATTGTTTTCAAAAATAAATACAACATTCATTTGGGCTGCACTCTTAAGCATGCCTACATAGGAGTAATGAGCACAGAATTTAACAAGACACTTTTAAGCAGATTCCTCCAGATCACTGTTAAAAGCTGCTAAACCAGAAAAACCTCAATTCTGAGGCTGCTGTAGAGAAACATGAGCGTCATCTGCTTTACTGTTGCATGAGTGTATGTGCCTTCGAGTTGTCTTTCAACTCATGATGACCCCATAAATATAATTGGCAAGAAATGCTCAAGATGTAGTTTTGCCAGTTCCTTCCCCTGAAATGTAGCCTACAGAACCTGGTATTCATTCACATCCAAGTACTAACCAGGACTTGTTTAGCTTTCAAGGTCAGGTGGTTAAAATGCATTTAAAAACACAAAGGTTTTTTTTTTTTTTAAATGGCATTATGCTAAATGTCCTTTGACCAGATGCTAGCCTCTGGTTTTATTTTCTCGTGTCAGGGCAGCCAGTCAATTATATTACATTTCTAACAGAACAAAGCAAACAAACAGACAAAATACAAAATGTGTGAGTTTGGTAATTGATTAAATGTCCTTTGACCAGTATCTGGCCACTTGGAGTGCTTCTGGTGTTGCTGCAAGAAGGTCCTCCATGGTGCATGTGGCAGGGCTCAGGTTGCATTGCAGCAGGTGGTCAGTGGTTTGCTCCTCTCCACACTCGCATGTCGAGGATTCCACTTTGTAGCCCCATTTCTGAAGGTTGGCTCTGCATCTTGTGGTGCCAGAGCGCAGTCTGTTCAGCGCCTTCCAAGTCGCCCAGTCCGCTGTGTGCCCAGGGGGGAGTCTCTCATTTGGTATCAGCCATTGATTGAGGTTCTGGGTTTGAGCCTGCCACTTTTGGACTCTCGCTTGCTGAGGGGTTCCAGCGAGTGTCTCTGTAGATCTTAGAAAACTATGTCTGGATTTAAGTCGTTGACGTGCTGGCTGATACCCAAACAGGGGATGAGCTGGAGATGTCTCTGCCTTGGTCCTTTCACTATTGGCTGCTACTTCCCGGCGGATGTCAGGTGGTGCAATACCGGCTAGACATTGTAATTTCTCCAGTGGTGTAGGGTGCAGACACCCCGTGATAATGCGGCATGTCTCATTAAGAGCCACATCCACTGTTTTAGTGTGATGAGATGTGTTCCACACTGGGCATGCATACTCAGCAGCAGAGTAGCAGCGCAAGGGCAGATGTCTTCACTGTATCTGGTTGTGATCCCCAGGTTGTGCCAGTCAGCTTTCGTATGATATTGTTTCTAGCACCCACTTTTTGCTTGATGTTCAGGCAATGCTTCTTGTAGGTAAGAGCACGGTCCAGAGTGACTCCCAGGTATTTGGGTGCGCTGCAATGCTCCAGTGGGATTCCTTCCCAGGTGATCTTCAGAGCTCGGGATGCTTCTCTGTTCTTGAGATGAAAGGCGCATGTCTGTGTTTTAGATGGGTTGGGGATCAGCTGGTTTTCCCTGTAATAGGCAGTAAGAGCACCTAGAGCTTCGGAGAGCTTCTGTTCAACCATCTCAAAGCTCCCTGCTTGAGCGGTAATGGCACGATCATCAGCATAGATGAAACTCTCTTTCCCTTCTGGCAGTGGCTGGTCATTTGTGTAGATGTTGAACATGGATGGAGCAAGCACGCTCCCCTGAGGCAGGCCGTTCTTCTGTTTCCGCCATCTGCTTCTCTGGCCCTGGAACTCAACAAAAAAGCTCCTGTTTTGTAGCAGGTTTCCTATGATGCGGGTGAGATGGTAGTCCTTTGTGATATTATACATTTTTCTCAGGATGAGGCGGTGGTTCGCAGTAGCATAAGCCGCTGACAGGTCTATGAAGACAGCTCCTGTGATCTGCTGCCTTTCAAAGCCATCTTCTATGTGCTGAGTCAGGTTCAGCACTTGCGATGTGCAGCTTTTGCCTTTCCTGAAGCCAGCTTGCTGTGGAATCAGACATGGGTCTATTTTTTTCCATAATTCTATGCAAAATAAGTCTCTCCAGAACTTTGTAGAGGTGGCACAACAGGGAGATTGGTCTGTAGCTTTTTGGATCATTACGGTCTTTGCCTGGCTTCAAGATGGTGATGACTCTTGCTTTCCTCCAGATTTTGGGGATCTGACAGGATGCAGTGCAGTTGTTCATCAGCTCCAGCAGCCAGCATGTCTATGTCCTACACCACTGGAGAAATTATGCCTCTGGTGTCGCTATGCAAAGGTGCTCCATTGTGCATATGGCAGGGCTCAGTTTGCATTGTAGCAGGTGGTCTGTGGTTTGCTGTTCTCCACACTCACCACTTTGTAGCCCCATTTCTTAAGGTTAATTCTGCATCTCGTGGTGCCAGAACTCAACCTGTTCAGCACCTTCCAGGTCACTCTGTGCCCAGCAGGGAGTTTCTCATCCAGTCTCAGTCACTGCTTAAGGTGCTGGGTTGTAACCTGCCACTTTTGGATTCTCACTTGCTGAGGTGTTCCTGGGAGTATCTCCTGATCTTAGGAAGCTGTTTCTTGATTTAAGCCATTGGCATGCTGTCTTTTTTTTTTAAAATATCTTTATTAGAAAGTTTTTGCATACAAACATAGTTAAAAAAAGGACTTTGGAGAAAAGGGGGAGGGTAGCGAGGGGTAGGGTGGGGCATTGGGCAACGTTGGGGGGGAGTGTATCGACTCGTCGGGGTAAGGTGGGGGAGGTGGAGGGGGAAGTGGGGGGGGCACATCGTGGGAAGGGGGGGATGGAAAAGACTTTAAAACTACAGTACTTCCAGGTAGAACAGAGAGGTGTTACATCTATTATACAACATTTTTGTTTAACATAGCATTAGTCGAGGTGCATTACAACTTCGTTAAATCTTAATTCTTCTTCTCTATATAGTCTATAAAGTTACTCCAGTCTGTGGTTTTCCTCTTGTCACTATTAGCTGTTAGTCTCTCTGTCAATAGGTCCATATTCATAACATCATACACTTTTAACGTCCATTGTTCTATTGAAGGGATCTCTCTGGATTTCCAGAGGCTTGCCAGTTGGATTCTGGCAGCTGTCGAAAGGTGAAAAAAGATTTTATTTTCATTACTATCCATCTCAAAATCGGTAATGCCTAGTAAGAAATATTCAGGTTTAAAAGAGAATTTCTTTTTTAAATTTTTTTCTGTTTCTTTATGAATTGTACGCCAGAAGGATTTCACCTTCTTGCACCCCCACCACATATGTATAAAGGTTCCAGTAGATCTTTCACATTTCCAGCATTTTCCCTCCAACTTCCCTTTGCTAAATTTGGCTAGCTGTTCCGGGGTGAGGTACCATCTATAAAATAATGTAAACCAGTTCTCCTTGTAATCACTGGAATATGTATATTTTATTTTTTTCCCCAAATTTCCTCCCATTCCGAAAGATTAATTGAGCGCCCTCCATCTTTCGCCCATCTCACCATATTGTCTTTCACTTGTTCTCTTTCCGTTTCCCATCTGAGCAAGAGTTGATATATTTTTCGTATGTGTTTGCTTTCCGCTTGTAAGATTTTAACCCATGTGGATTCCTCTGTTTCGAAACCTATTCTTTGGTCTATCATATAATTTTCTTTTATCTGATGGATCTGAAATCATGAGAGTTTGGTGTCATGTTCTTTTAATTCTTCTTGGGTCTTTAGGACAAGTCCTTTTGGGGTTCTTTTTAAAATCTCCTTATAGGTTAGCCATTTTTCTCTACTGGCGCCTCTGATTTGACTGGCCTCGTTTGGGGAGAACCATAGAGGGACTTTTGAGTGTAGTTTGTTTTTGTAGTTTTCCCAGATTTGAATGAGTGGGGCTCTTACAAAGTGATTTTTGAAGTTCCTTTCCTTTTTTGCTTTTTCTCTCCATAAGTAGTTATGCCAGCCTTGCATCAAATCATGCCCCTCCAGGGCTAGCAA